TGTAGTAGCTGGTTGTGCAGCAGCTGGTTGTGTAGTAGCTGGTTGTGTAGTAGCTGGTTGTGTAGTAGCTGGTTGTGTAGCAGCTGCAGGTGTAGTAGCTGCAGGTGTAGTAGCTGGTTGTGTAGTAGCTGGTTGTGTAGCAGCTGGTTGTGTAGCAGCTGGTTGTGTAGCAGCTGGTTGTGTAGTAGCTGCAGGTGTAGTAGCTGGTTGTGTAGTAGCTGGTTGTGTAGTAGCTGGTTGTGTAGCAGCTGGTTGTGTAGTAGCTGGTTGTGTAGCAGCTGGTTGTGTAGTAGCTGGTTGTGTAGCAGCTGGTTGTGTAGTAGCTGGTTGTGTAGCAGCTGGTTGTGTAGTAGCTGGTTGTGTAGTAGCTGGTTGTGTAGCAGCTGGTTGTGTAGCAGCTGGTTGTGTAGTAGCTGGTTGTGTAGTAGCTGGTTGTGTAGCAGCTGGTTGTGTAGTAGCTGGTTGTGTAGCAGCTGGTTGTGTAGTAGCTGGTTGTGTAATAGCTGGTTGTGTAGTAGCTGGTTGTGTAGCAGCTGGTTGTGTAGTAGCTGGTTGTGTAGCAGCTGGTTGTGTAGCAGCTGGTTGTGTAGTAGCTGGTTGTGTAGCAGCTGGTTGTGTAGCAGCTGGTTGTGTAGTAGCTGGTTGTGTAGTAGCTGCACGTGTAGTAGCTGCACGTGTAGTAGCAGCACGTGTAGTTGCTTGTTGTGTAGCAGCTGGTTGTGTAGTAGCTGGTTGTGTAGTAGCTGGTTGTGTAGCAGCTGGTTGTGTAGTAGCTGGTTGTGTAGTAGCTGGTTGTGTAGTAGCTGGTTGTGTAGCAGCTGGTTGTGTAGCAGCTGGTTGTGTAGTAGCTGGTTGTGTAGCAGCTGGTTGTGTAGTAGCTGGTTGTGTAGTAGCTGGTTGTGTAGTAGCTGGTTGTGTAGCAGCTGGTTGTGTAGCAGCTGGTTGTGTAGCAGCTAGTTGTGTAGTAGCTGGTTGTGTAGCAGCTGGTTGTGTAGCAGCTGCTAGGCCCCACACTTTAAAGGGCCCCGCGCTGAACGCTTTCAAAACTATCGGTGATCCTGCACCTGCTCTATTACTATAGTACCATACCGCCTTCAACTTTCACGAACGACAGGGTGTTTAAGGTCAGCGATTTGTCGTATTATCCGGCTGCACAGCAAATGAAAAAAAAATACAATAACTTCACTACGCAAGTTAAAACCAAACAAAAATCTGCGTGTTTTAAAATTCACGTGTTTATTTATGTACTTAGGGGCCCCCTTTATAACGTCATGCTCCAGGTCCCGCACCAGCTTCACCCGGCACTGCTACCACGTGTCAAAGCGGGTGCCACGTGGACGGGAGGCTGTGGGACACATCGCGTGAAGTGGTCCCATCCACGTGGATGCTCTGTCCCGGCTGGGCATGGCTGAGGTTACGTGAATGGTCGTTCACGGGGGCCAGAGGGGTCAGCCGAGCCGATTGACATTTGTACTTTTTTGGCTTTTACGGTCAAGTCACCGTAGGTATAACATGAAATAAATATAATCCAGCGGTGGCGTTCCACTTACCCCCCTTAAGAAGTACCACTGCTGGATTATATATTTTGCTGTGCCTTTTTTTCTACACCTGATGGAGGATGCTTGTGTTGCCTCCGAAACGTCGTGATTTAATTTAGTTGCTTTCATTTTTGTTTGATTTTATTTTTCTACCCACGTGACGTTACCGGAAGAACCAAAGAGAATGGATCCCTTCTTCTTTGGTTCTTTCGGTAAAGTCACCACCACGTAGAATGAGAATAAAATAATAAAATGACACAATAAAATTCTCACGACGTTTCGGCCAAAACGCAAGCGGCCGTCTGCACCTTTCGCCTGAAGACGGCCGCTTGCGTTGTGGCCGAAACGTCGTGAGAATTTCATCGTGTTAGAATGGATCCCCCTTGCAGTCACGAAAGCTTCAGATCGAGATCGATTGGCATTTGTTTCTTGACACTATCGAACAACATGACGAGAACAAAACACGAACGCAGCTTTAACGCTTTCTGGCAATGAAGCGCGTGACGTGGTTTTGATTTAAAGCTTTCGTGACTGCAGTGATTCGTATTCTTAGCTCATTTCGGTGAAGTCACCACGTTGAAGGGAAACAATAAAATAATAAAAAAATATATAAAACAATAAAAAAATTCTCACGACGTTTCGACCATAACACAAACGGTCATCATCAGGTTTGTGTTATGGTCGAAACGTCGTGAGAATTTTTTTTATTGTTTTATATATATTTTATTATCTTATTGTTTCCCTTCTACGTGGTGACTTTACCGAAAGAACCAAGAATGTGCCATTATTAAATCTTGATTTAAAGCTTTCGTGACTGCAGTGATTCGTATTCTTAGCTCTTTCGGTGAAGTCACCACGTTGAAGGGAAACAATAAAATAATAAAATATATATATAAAACAATAAAAAAATTCTCACGACGTTTCGACCGTAACACAAACGCTCGTCATCAGGTTTGTGTTATGTCGAAACGTCGTGAGAATTTTTTTATTGTTTTATATATATTTTATTATTTTATTGTTTCCCTTCAACGTGACTTTACCGAAAGAGCTAAGAATATGAAACACGTGACGTGCTGTTAATGTTACAATCGCTGCTTTCGTTATCATTGCCATCGGCGTTGCCGTTATCGCCGCCACGTTCTGTTATTCGTCGTTTGCAGGATGCGCGCTTCTGCGGCCCGTCTGGAACGTTCTTCCCTCCGATGTCGGGAAGCCACTTGGAGCAGTTACGGCCTAAGGGCCGGACGAGGCCCCGCGAAATCATTTGGGGTCTCTGGGCACTGCCAAGGCGACCGCAGGCGGGACTCGAAATTCAATAAATCTCGGAGCGAAAACCTGGAGAAGCAGTTGCCAGCTAACATCATCACATGCCTCACCAAAGAGAAGCAGTTCCAGCCCCATCGCGTTAGGGGCGAGTTCATTAAAATGTTTGACCAAATATATGACGGGCTAATTTTTTAAGTTGATCATTTTGTGTGTGGCCCGCGAATGACGTTGTAAATATCCAAATGGCCCCTTTGGCAGAAGAAATGTGTCCCCCACCCCTGGTCTAAAGGGTGCAAGTGTGAATTTTACTCGTGCAGAAACTCCTGCAGATTCGCAAAGGCAGTCAAAAATAAACCCAATAATGATGATGATGATGCGTGTGTGTTTGTTGAACTTCTTTCGCACCGTACGGAGCCAACCGTGCTAATCCGTGGGCTTCTGTGGGTCTCTGGGTGTCTATATGGGTCTCTAATATATGTCTGAGTGTCTATGGATCTCTGTGTGTATGTACTGTATGTTGAACTTCTTTCACACCGTACGTAGCCAACCGTGCTAATCGGAGGTGCAGGAGGACACACACACAGACACACACAGTGACACACACACACAGACACACACACACACTGTCACACAAACATAAAGACACACAAAGGACGAACACACAATGACGCACATACACAAAGAGCACAAAAGACAAAGACATACACACAGACACACAGAGACATAACACACAGACACACACACAGGCACACACACACACAGACACACAGAGACACATGCACACAGACACACATGCACACAGACACACAACGAGCACACACATATACACACACACAGGCACACACACACAGACACACAGAGACACATGCACACAGACACACAGACACACACACACATACACACAGACACACACACACACACTCCATCACGCCGCGTGTTCACGTCCCTGCTGACGGGTCATCAATGTCCCGCGATTAATAATTTCATTGTTGTTGTTGTTGTTAAAAATGTTCATTACGCTGCAGGAACAACCCTCATTCCCAGCCGCTCGTTAATAACGGGGGGGGGGGGGGGGGGGGACGAGAGGGAGTGCATCGACTCCATCCCACCGTGCGGAATCACAACGTCTGTTTGTGCTGCAGTAATCTGGTGTTGCTACGAAAGGCATTTTTCACAGATGTAGCAGGAATTTCGAACTCGACATCCACCAAGCCGTCATCCTCGGCGTCTCGGAGACGACCCAGACCCAGGGCTCGAACCCAGGTGCCTCAGCGTTGCTGGCTCAGTGACTCCGACACGGCCATCAGGAACTCTCCTGTGAGACTCTGAGACGACCCAGACCCAGGGCTCGAACCCAGGTGCCTCAGCGTTGCTGGCTCAGCGACTCCGACACGGCCAACAGGAACCCTCCTGTGACACTCTGAGACAACCCAGACCCAGGGCTCGAACCCAGGTCACTCAGCGTTGCTGGCTCAGTGACTCCGACAAGGCCACCAGGAACTCTCCTGTGAGACTCTGAGACAACCCAGACCCAGGGCTCGAACCCAGGTGCCTCAGCGTTGCTGGCTCAGCGACTCCGACAAGGCCATCAGGAACTCTCCTGTGAGACTCTGAGACAACCCAGACCCAGGGCTCGAACCCAGGTCACTCAGCGTTGCTGGCTCAGTGACTCCGACACGACCATCAGAAACTCTCCTGTGAGACTCTGAGACAACCCAGACCCAGGGCTCGAACCCAGGTGCCTCAGCGTTGCTGGCTCAGCGACTCCGACAAGGCCATCAGGAACCCCCCTGAGTCGCCGATGAAATCCTCACCTGACTGACCCCGGTGTGGAATCTGCTGTTCACAAATCCATGGATTTAAAAGTTGAACATTTGAAATCCTTTCCCACAACCAACCCCAGCGAAACTAATATTCCACAGTGTGTGTGTGCACGTGTGTGTGTGCACGTGCGTGTGTGTACGTGTGCACGTGTGTGTGTGGGTGCACGGTGCTGTAGCGGTGTTTACTACACACTCCGCACCAGGTACTCATTTGAGGCTGAGTCGACCTAGCAGAGGCCCAGGACCGGTTCAGATACTCGTCACTGGTAGTGTTGGTGGCCGTGAGCGGGAATCGAACCCCGTTCGCCGGGTTTGTAGCGCAGCGTAGCGCTAACCGTTACACTACCGCTCCCCACTATATATACACACACACGTGTACACACACACGTACACACAAAAACACACACGTACACACACACACGAAGGCAAAGGCAAATATCTGCCAGGCTATCTCCTCGAACGCACTGGCACCATCACACACACACACAAGAAAGACAAAGATCCCCCGTATAGCCTTCACAGACTGTAGGGGAAAGTGCAGTTAGCGAGCAGCACCTTTAAAGGCCGGCACGGCACACAAGGTGGGTGGGTTGCCAACACCACGCCCGGCCGCCTTTGTCTCCCCTAGTGGGTAGAGACTCCCTCCCATCCGCGCATCTCTCACCTTCCTCCCCAAGTCTCCCAGCGGATCCTTCCTCCGTGTCCTCCTCCTCCTCCACCTCCTCCACCTCCTCCTCCGAATCCTCGTTCCTGCAAGGCGCTGCCCTTCCCACGATGCCGTGCGGCAGGGCGGGCCACCCGTTCCGTCGAGGCGCTGCTAACGAGACAGCGTTGACGACGTGAAACCACAGACAAAACACGAAGTGCATCGATAAGAGAGAGAGATGCACACACAGACACACAGGCACACACTGACACACACACACAGACACACACATAGCGGGAGCCAGGCCCAGGACCTCGAAGTCAGGACCTCGGCTGAGAGACCCAGACCCAGGGCTCGAACTCAGGACCTCAGCCGTGCAGGCCACTGTTTTTCTGACATGGCCATTGTGAACCCCATAAGAGACAGAGAGAGAGAGAGACACACAGAGAGCGAGACACACACAGAGAGAGACACAGAGAAAGAGAGACACACACAGAAAGAGAGACCCAGACCCAGGGCTCGAACTCACGACCTCAGACGTGCAGGCCACGGTGTGTCTGACATGGCCATTGTGAACCCCATAAGAGACACACAGCGAGAGAGAGACACAGAGAGCGAGACACACACACAGAGAGACACAGAGAGAGAGACAAAGAGAGACACACAGAGAGAGACACACACAGAGAGAGACACAGAGAGAGACACAGAGAGAGACACACACAGAGAGACAGAGAGAGACACAGAGAGAGACACACACAGAGAGAGAGACCCAGACCCAGAGCTAGAACTCAGGTTCTCAGACGTACAGGCCACGGTGTGTCTGACATGGCCATTGTCAACCCCGTAAGAGACACACAGAGAGAGAGACACACACAGAGAGAAAGAGAGACACAGAGAGAGAGACACAGAGAGAGAGACACACACAGAGAGACACAGAGAGAGACAGAGAGAGAGAGAGAGACACACACAGAGAGAGAGACAGAGAGAGGGAGACCCAGACCCAGGGCTCGAACTCAGGTTCTCAGTCGTGCAGGCCACGGTGTGTCTGACATCCGATGAACCCGGCCAACTCAGGAAGACGAGGTATATTTGTGTAAATCTGTCCGCGCGTCTCTTTGCGGCTCCGTGTATCTCCGTGTCTCTGTGTGTCTCCATGTGTCTCCGCGTGTCTCCTCATGTGTCTCCATGTGTCTCCGCGTGCATCTCTGTGCATGTCTGTGCGTCTCCGTGTGTCTCTGGGTGTCTCCGCGCGTCTCCGAGTGTCTCGGCGTGTCTCCTCGTGTGCCTCCGTGTGTCTCTCCGCGTCTCTGCGTGTTTTTTTCCGGGTATCGTAGGTGTATCTCCATGTCTCCACGTGTCTCCTCATGTGTCTCCGCGTGTTTCTGTGCGTCTCCGTGTGTCTCTGTGTGTGTCTCTATGCGTCATCCGCGTGTCTCGGTGCATCTTCGAATGTCTCCGCGTGTCTCCGTGTGTGTCTCCATGTCTCCCCGTGTCTCATGTGTCTTCATGCGTCATCCGCGTGTCTCCGTGCGTCTCCGTGTGTCTCCGAGTGTCTCCGAGTGTCTCTGCTAGTGTCTCCGTGTGTCTCCGAGTGTCTCCGTGCGTCTCCGTGTGTCTTCGAGTGTCTCCGAGTGTCTCTGCTAGTGTCTCCGTGTGTCTCCGAGTGTCTCCGAGTCTCTCCGAGTGTCTCCATGCGTCATCCGCGTGTCTCAGTGCATCTCCGAGTGTCTCCGTGTGTCTCCGTGCGCCTCCGAGTCTCTGCTAGTGTCTCCGTGCCGCAGCGCCCGTACCCTGGAGCGCCTCTGGCAAGAACGTCTCCCCGCATCGCTCGGGAGGAGATTCTCCGGGGCCTTCCGGAGAGATGGGAGGAGAGGGGCTGCCCCTTCCAAGCGAGCGCTCCTGGCATCACCACAAAGACAAAGATCACCCGTGTAGCCTGTAACAGACTGTTGGGGCAAGTGCTGTTAGCGAGCAGCAGCAGCACCTGTGAAGGCTACCGGCACTGTGGCACACGAGGGGGTGGGCGGCCAGCAACCACACCCGGGTCGCCTTTGTCTCTCCGGTGGCGATGTTTTACACATCGCGCCAACGTACTCATTTTGAGGCTGAGTCGACCTAGGGGAGGCCCATGACCGGTTCAGATGCCGTGAGCGAGAATCGAACCCGGGTCGCCGGGTTCGTAGCTGCAGCGTAGCGCCGACCGCTACCGGTCCCCCGGCAGCACCGAACACCATAGCACGGTGCCATCATCGGCATCATCGGCGTGATCGTCACCGCCGTCATCATCATCATCATCGTAATTATCCATAATTACGATGATCTCTGCACGTGATGGCTTCAGTGATGACGTCGTCCTGATGCTGCTCTATTTAAGAGTGGAAGCAGGTGGATTGCCTTCGCCATTCTGGCAAATCGCCCCATGATGCTGGTCGATGCGATTAGCAGCGAAACGCCGTACTACTCAGATCGTAAACGTTGTGGATTTACTCTCCAACACAGCGGCGGGCCGAAGTAGTACACCGCACTATACACTACACGGCACGCGACACTATACTAGTGCAGTGACACCGCGGGATGTTACTGTGTAGTGCCGGGCCCTAGAGGGGCACGCCGTGCGGTGTAACAACATCGCGGATAACCACGAGAGTGGCGTGGGTGTAGTGGCGGGCCCTAGAGGGGCACGGTGACCGCTGATTGATAGCGCTGGATTGCACCACGCTCGGCGTGCAGTGCCAGCCCCTACAGGACAGGGTGCGGGAGTGCCGGCCGTAGGGACGAGGTTACTAAAGGCCACGGCACTCTGGTTGACCCGGGAGGACACGTCACCGGTTAAGTCTACAAAGGGGCCCCGAGCGGTGGCTAGGGGTGGTCACGTGGTCGGGGTTCAGATCCTGCTGCCCGAGGATTCTGGAAGGTGGGCGTGGCCAAGGGCGGAGCCGGCCACGCCGCAGAGGATCTAAGCCGGGTCCCCCAGAGGGACCGCTGTTGTTGTTGTTCATTCTGAAGCAACATTTCGTCAAAGTTCTACGTTCAACGAGTCTCCAACACGTGGACCTGGAACCCGAGCTGTGGTCCCGGTCCGTAGTAGCTAGTTACGTTGTAGCTAGTGTAATTAGCCTGGTGACTAGTGTAGTAAACTAGTGTAGTTACTAGTGTAGTAACTAGTGTAGTAGCTAGTATAGTAGCTAGTGTAGTAGCTAGTGTAGTTAGTAGTGTAGTAGCTAGTGTAGTAACTAGTGTAGTAACTAGTATAGTAGCTAGTGTAGTAGCTAGTGTAGTTAGCCTGGTGACTAGTGTAGTAACTAGTGTAGTGACTAGTGTAGTTAGCCTGGTCACTAGTGTAGTAACTAGTGTAGTGACTAGTGTAGTTAGCCTTGTGGTCAACACTAGGTTAACTACACCAGTCACGTGGTAACTAGTGTAGCTAGCCTGGTGGTCACCACCTGGCTAACTACACCAGTCACGTGGTAACTCGTGTAGTTAGCCTGGTGACTAGTGTAGTAACTAGTGTAGTGACGAGTGTAGTTAGCCTGGTGGTCACCACCTGGCTAACTACACCAGTCACGTGGTAACTCGTGTAGTTAGCCTGGTGACTAGTGTAGTAACTAGTGTAGTGACTAGTGTAGTTAGCCTGGTGGTCACCACCTGTCTAACTACACCAGTCACGTGGTAACTAGTGTAGCTAGTCTGGTGACTAGTGTAGTAACTAGTGTAGTTACTAGTGTAGTTAGCCTTGTGGTCAACACTAGGTTAACTACACCAGTCACGTGGTAACTAGTGTAGCTAGCCTGGTGGTCACCACCTGTCTAACTACACCAGTCACGTGGTAACTAGTGTAGCTAGTCTGGTGACTAGTGTAGTAACTAGTGTAGTGACTAGTGTAGTTAGCCTTGTGGTCACCACCTAGTTAACTACACCAGTCACGTGGTAACTAGTGTAGCTAGCCTGGTGGTTACCACCTGTCTAACTACACCAGTCACGTGGTAGCTAGTGTAGCTAGTCTGGTGACTAGTGTAGTAACTAGTGTAGTGACTAGTGTAGTTAGCCTTGTGGTCAACACTAGCTTAACTACACCAGTCATGTGGTAACTAGTGTAGCTAGCCTGGTGGTCACCACCTGGTTAACTACATCAGTCACGTGGTAACTAGTGTAGCTAGCCTGGTGGTCACCACCTGGCTAACTACACCAGTCACGTGGTAACTAGTGTAGCTAGCCTGGTGGTCACCACCTGGCTAACTACACCCGTCACCTGGTAACTAGTGTAGCTAGCCTGGTGACTAATGTAGTAACTAGTGTAGTGACTAGTGTAGTTAGCCTTGTGGTCACCACCAGGCTAACTACACCAGTCATGTGGTAACTAGTGTAGCTAGTCTGGTGACTAGTGTAGTAACTAGTGTAGTGACGAGTGTAGTTAGCCTGGTGGTCACCACCTGGCTAGCTACACCAGTCACATGGTAACTAGTGTAGTTAGCCTGGTGACCAGTGTAGTAACTAGTGTAGTGACTAGTGTAGTTAGCCTTGTGGTCAACACTAGGTTAACTACACCAGTCACGTGGTAACTAGTGTAGCTAGCCTGGTGGTCACCACCTGGCTAACTACACCAGTCACGTGGTAACTAGTGTAACTAGCCTGGTGGTCACCACCAGGCTAACTACACCAGTCACGTGGTAACTAGTGTAGTTAGCCTGGTGGTCACCACCTGGCTAGCTGTACCAGTCACGTGGTAACTAGTGTAGTTAGCCTGGTGGTCACCACCTGTCTAACTACACCAGTCACGTGGTAACTAGTGTAGCTAGTCTGGTGACTAGTGTAGTAACTAGTGTAGTGACTAGTGTAGTTAGCCTTGTGGTCAACACTAGGTTAACTACAGCAGTCACGTGGTAACTAGTGTAGCTAGCCTGGTGGTCACCACCTGGCTAACTACACCAGTCACGTGGTAACTAGTATAGCTAACCTGGTGACTAGTGTAGTAACTAGTGTCGTAACTAGTGTAGTTAGCCTGGTGGTCACCACCTGGCTAACTACACCAGTCACGTGGTAACTAGTGTAGCTAGCCTGGTGGTCACCACCTGGCTACCTACACCAGTCACGTGATAACTAGTGTAGTTAGCCTGGTGACTAGTGTAGTAACTAGTGTAGTGACTAGTGTAGCTAGCCTGGTGGTCAACACTAGGTTAACTACACCAGTCACGTGGTAACTAGTGTAGTTAGTCTGGTGACTAGTGTCGTAACTAGTGTAGTGACGAGTATAGTTAGCCTGGTGGTCACCACCTGGCTAGCTACACCAGTCACATGGTAACTAGTGTAGTTAGCCTGGTGACTAGTGTAGTAACTAGTGTAGTGACTAGTGTAGTTAGCCTTGTGGTCAACACTAGGTTAACTACACCAGTCACGTGGTAACTAGTGTAGCTAGCCTGGTGGTCACCACCTGGCTAACTACACCAGTCATGTGGTAACTAGTGTAGCTAGTCTGGTGACTAGTGTAGTAACTAGTGTAGTGACTAGTGTAGTTAGCCTTGTGGTCAACACTAGGTTAACTACACCAGTCACGTGGTAACTAGTGTAGCTAGCCTGGTGGTCACCACCTGGCTAACTACACCAGCCACGTGGTAACTAGTGTAGCTAGCCTGGTGACTAGTGTAGTAACTAGTGTAGTGACTAGTGTAGTTAGCCTTGTGGTCAACACTAGGTTAACTACACCAGTCACGTGGTAACTAGTGTAGCTAGCCTGGTGGTCACCACCTGGCTAACTACACCAGTCACGTGGTAACTAGTGTAGTTAGCCTGGTGGTCACCACCTGGCTAACTACACCAGTCACGTGGTAACTAGTGTAGCTAGCCTGGTGGTCACCACCTGGCTAACTACACCAGTCACGTGGTAACTTGAGTAGTTAGTCTGGTGACTAGTGTAGTAACTAGTGTAGTGACTAGTGTAGTTAGCCTTGTGGTCAACACTAGGTTAACTACACCAGTCACGTGGTAACTAGTGTAGTTAGTCTGGTGACTAGTGTCGTAACTAGTGTAGTGACGAGTGTAGTTAGCCTGGTGGTCACCACCTGGCTAGCTACACCAGTCACGTTGTAATTAGTGTAGTTAGCCTGGTGACTAGTGTAGTAACTAGTGTAGTGACTAGTGTAGCTAGCCTGGTGGTTACCATCTGGCTAACTACACCAGTCACGTGGTAACTAGTGTAGTTAGCCTGGTTGTCACCACCTGGCTAACTACACCAGTCACGTGGTAACTAGTGTAGTTAGCCTGGTGGTCACCACCTGGCTAGCTACACCAGTCACGTGGTAACTAGTGTAGCTAGCCTGGTGACTAGTGTAGTAACTAGTGTAGTGACTAGTGTAGTTAGCCTGGTGGTCACCACCTGGCTAACTACACCAGTCACGTGGTAACTAGTGTAGCTAGCCTGGTGACTAGTGTAGTAACTAGTGTAGTGACTAGTGTAGTTAGCCTGGTGGTCACCACCTGGCTAACTACACCAGTCACGTGGTAACTAGTGTAGCTAGCCTGGTGGTCACCACCTGGCTAACTACACCAGTCACGTGGTAACTAGTGTAGCTAGCCTGGTGGTCACCACCTGGCTAACTACACCAGTCACGTGGTAACTAGTGTAGTTAGCCTGGTGGTCACCACCTGGCTAGCTACATCAGTCACGTGGTAACTAGTGTATTTAGCCTGGATGTCACCACCTGGCTAGCTACACCAGTCACGTGGTAACTAGTGTAGCTAGCCTGGTGACTAGTGTAGTAACTAGTGTAGTGACTGTAGCTAGCCTGGTGGTCACCACCTGGCTAACTACACCAGTCACGTGGTAACTAGTGTAGTTAGCCTGGATGTCACCACCATAAGTTGTTATTCTGTTAAGGGGCAGTTACCCCGTGTGTTGGTGTTAAATGTGTTGCCTCCAAGAGTACATCTATGACTCAGTTGAACTCACTACACTAGTAACTAATTATTATGATGATGCTGCTGGTGATGCTGCTGCTGATGCTGCCGCTACTACTGATGACCCTGCAGCTGCTGATGATGATTATGATTATGATGATGCTGATGACGAGGTGGCCTCGTCCATTGAGGCCTAACCTTGCCGCCGGAGCCTTCAGTGTGCGCCTGGGCTTGGGCCTGAGCCTGGGCCACGGCGGCCATTCCCAGGTGGGTCATGTGACTCATTGCCATGGAGACGTGGTGATGGTGGTGATGCTGCTGCTGCAGGCCCACGGGCAGCAGGTGGTGAGGCACCATCATGAAGGGCAAGGCTCCGTTCAGGTGCTCGAGTCCTGGTCGCCATAGAGACGCGGGAGACAGAGGAGGAGCATTTTTTTGTTACGTTATTTTACATATATTTTTTTAACAAGTTTTTTTAAAAATATATATATTTAGAAAATGTGATTTTTTGCATTCTTTAAATATATTTTCATATTTTAAAAACATTATAAATTAATAAAAAATATATATATTTTATTAATAATTGTTTAAAATCTCATCTTTAATTCTTTTTTTTTATATATTTGTTTAATAATATTTTTTTCATTAAAAAATATATATTTTCTTAACATATAATTTTTTAGAAATATATTTTGAAAACTGTACTGTTACATCCGCACGTACACATGCACATCATCAGAACGGAATGGGAAAAAAAACGATGACGTGCTGCTACGTACACACGTGTACACGTACGTCATCAGAACGGAATTGTAAGGAAAAAACGATGACGTACTACTACGTACGTAACGGGAATGGGAATGGGTTTTAATAGCACAACAAGCCAAACATCTAAATCAGGTTTCCAAAAGCGTTAAACGACACTCGGGCGAACCGTTGGGGGCAGTCCATAAATGACGTCACGCACCTGGGGGGGGGGGGGGGGGGGGGTGGGGGGTCAGACATTTGTGACGATGTGTGACGAGGGAGGGGGGGGCGGGATGTTTGAGAAATGTGACGTCACATCAAAATGCGCAACTTTAAATAAATATAGACAAACACGTTCTGCTTAATGAAATAGACTTTTTGATAAATGTTTTTCTCCTGCAGCATCAGAGTGCAGCGCCACATTAAATACGCGCTACTACGATGTGACAATAGTTTAAAGCGATTTGAAGCTAATTTTATTTTTTGGGTCGCGGGGTGGGGGGGGGAGGGCAGAGCTTTGTGACGTCATATTTGAGGGGGGGGGGGTCTGACTTTTTGTGACGTCGTGTGAGTGAGTGGGGGGGGGTCAAAAATCGTCCCAAATCGCGTGACGTCATTTATGGACGTAGCCCACCGGGGTGCTGACGATGCGAAGGCCTCACCGTTGGAGAAGAGCTGAGAGCCCTGGACCTGAGACAGAGGGCGCGCCGAGGCCATGCCCGGAGGCCCGCTGTGCACGGGCCCAGAGGTCGCGGGGTCAAAAAGCGGAGCGGCCATGGCGGTCGGAGTTCGCCGCCTCGCTCCGAGCCAGGAGATGTCCACGCAGCCTGGAGTCGGGGGACACGTGGTGAGCACGTGGTGAGCACGTGGTGAGTACGTGGTGAGGAGTACGTGGAGACACGGGCATGGAGAGAAGGAGACAAGGAGAGATGGAGACACGGGGCGATGAGGACACCGAGGAGACGGGGGACGAGAGGAGGAGGCACGGGGACACGTGGAGATGGGGGAGGACACGGAGAGACGTAGACACGGGTAGAGAGTAGACGCACGGATGTGATTACGGAGAGACGCGTGGACACGGGGACACGGAGAGACGGGGACACGGAGAGACGGAGAGACGGAGAGACAGGGACACGGAGAGACGGGGACACGGGGACACGGAGAGACGGAGACACGGGGACACGGAGAGACAGGGGCACGGAGAGACGGAGAGACAGGGACACGGAGAGACAGGGACACGGAGAGACGGAGAGACAGGGACACGGAGAGACGGAGAGACGGAGACACGGAGACACGGAGAGACAGGGACACGGAGAGACGGAGAGACGGAGAGACGGGGACACAGAGAGACAGGGACATGGGGACACGGAGAGACGGAGAGACGGAGACACGGAGAGACGGGGACACGGAGAGACGGAGAGACGGGGACACAGAGAGACGGAGAGACAGGGACACGGAGAGACGGATAGACGGAGACACGGAGAGACAGGGACACGGAGAGACGGAGAGACGGGGACACAGAGAGACAGGGACATGAGGACACGGAGAGACGGGGACACGGAGAGACGGAGAGACGTGGAGACAGACAGACGCGGAGACGCGGGGGCCAGGAGACGAGACCTGAGGACACTGAGAACCACAGCAGACACCGGCAGCGGTCAACGCTACGCCGAGCGACGCAACCCGGCGAGCCGGGTTCGATTCCCGCTCACGGCCAGCACCGGTGACGGTTATCCGGGCGTCGCCACTGGGGAGACAAAGGCGGCCGGGCGTGGTTGCTGTCCACCCCCCACCACCCACTCCCCCTCATCGCGTGCCACAGTGCGCGCCTTCATAGGATTGCTACTGCTCGCTGACAGCACTTGCCCCGCACAAGTCTGTTGAGGCTATACGGAGGGGAGGGGGGTGGGCACTTTTGTCTTTGCCTTTGCGCGCGCGTTGATTGGGACTGAATTTTACTCACGAGCGCTGTTAATAACAATAGCTGCTGCTGTTGTTGTTGTTGTTGGGACGTCATCGGGGGGGGGGGGGAGAAGGGGAGGCTCATGCCCACTGGGGTGGGGGTGGGTTCATGCCCAAGCAATCCACTGTCTGGAACGCGTCTACTCGCGTCCGGAGAAAATTCACAAATGCTGTTAATTATTATTGAGACACGGTCAAGGGGAGAGAGAGAGAGAGCGGTGTGTGTGGGTGTGTGGGGGTGTGTGTGTGGGTGTGTGGGGGTGTGTGTGTGTGTGGGTGTGTGTGGGGGTGTGTGTGTGTGAATGGGTGTGTGTGTGGGTGTGTGGGGGGGTGCGTGTGTGTGGGTGGAGACGCTGCTGCTGAGACTGGAGCGTGCCACTAAGAGATGGGGCCTTACCATCAGCCCCACCAAAACTAAGCACCTGCCTGGGTATTTTGTACCATCGGACACTCCACCCCCACAACTCCCAATCGGTGATGGGGCAGTTGTGGAGAGAGTGGAGAGTTTCCCATACCTGGGCAGTGTGCTTATGACTGACTCCAGTTTAACAGCAGAGGTCTCACTCCGAATCAGTCGAGCGGCAATATCTTTTCATTGGTTGCGTAACGCTGTGTGGAAGCTACTTGGTCTGTCGCTCCGCACTAAGCTTCAGGTCTTCTCGGCCACGGTCATTCCCTCCCTTCTTTACGCTTGCGAAACGTGGACCCCCCTAATGGAACATCTTCGCCGGTTAGAAACATTTAGGCTGGCCTGCCTACGATCCATCCTGGGTTTAACCAGACTGGATTGTGTGAGGAGCTCACAAATCCTTGAAAGATCTGGGCAGGGTCCCATCGGTGAGCTCCTCCGGCAGGCAAGGCTGCGATGGCTGGGTCATGTAGCCCGCATGCCCAGCCACCGCATGCCGAAACAGCTTTTGTTTGGCCGGATTGAGGGGCCTAAGCGGGCGCGGCACAGGCTAGCGAAGAGATGGAGTGATGTGGTACAGGAGGACGTGGAGCTGAGTGGACTTGCCAATGACTGGTACCAGCGGTGTCAAGATCGGCCTCTGTGGAGGAGGCTCGTGAAGGATGCTACTGGGCAGTTAGAGGTAGTCGCCCTCCAACAACAACGGAGGGCGGAGGAGCGACGCTCAGAACAACGAGCGGAGCGCCGGGTGGCTAAAGCACAGCAGGTTGGCACAGTAGGGGGCACAGGTGGTGCATCAGCCAGTCATCTGAGTCAGTCGACCCGTGGCACCTGGGTCTGCCCCGTGACCTCCTGCCAGCGGGCGTTCGACACTTCACGTGGCCTCAGGGTGCACATAGCCTGGCACAAGCGTCGTGGTGACGTCACCGCCACTTAGTGGCGAATGGCGGTTGTTGTTGTTGTGTGGGTGTCTGGGTGTGTGTGGGTGTCTGGGTGTGTGGGGGGGTATGTGTGTGTGTGTTGGCACTGTAGGGGGTACAGGTGGTGCATCAGCCAGTCATCTCAGTCAGTCGACCCGTGGCACCTGGGTCTGCCCCGTGACCTCCTGCCAGCGGGCGTTCGACACTTCACGTGGCCTAAGCGTGCACATGGCCTGGCACAAGCGTCGTGGTGACGTCACCGCCACTTAGTGTCGAATGGCGGTTGTTGTTGTGTGGAAGTGTATGTGTGTTTGTGCGTGTGTGGGTGTCTGTGTGTGGGTGTGCGTGTGGGGAGCGGTGGTGTAGCGGTTAGCGCTACGCTGCGCTACGAACCTGGCGACCCGGGTTCGATTCCCGCTCACGGCAAAACACCGGTGACGATTATCTGAACCGGTCCTGGGCCTCCCCTAGGTCGACTCAGCCTCAAATGAGTACCTGGTACGGTGTGCAGTAAACATCGCCACTGGGGAGACAAAGGCGGCCGGGCGTGGTGGTGCTGGCCACCCACTCCCTGGTGTGCCGTTCCGGCCTTCACAGGTGCTCGCTAACAGCACTTGCCCCTACAGTCTGTTAAGGCTACACGGGGGATCTTTGTGTGTGCGGGCAACTGAATGATCTGAACCGGTTCTGGAATCACAGCACTGGCACTAGCACGCAGCTCTCGTTTTTGTCAGAACCGACGACACGTGACCCATCACACGTGATGGGTCACGTGTCGTCGTCACGTTCACGTTGTACAGCAGCTGCCGAAATGCTCTGGACGCGTGCACGTTGATTATTTATGTTCAGGAGAGAAGGAACAAACCCAGAGAGACAGAGAGAGACACGCAGACTCCAAATATACAGCAGCAGGCATCGAACCCACGACCTCCTGTAGACCAGGCGAGGTAGTTAACATCTCACCACGGAGAGAGAGACACGCAAACTCCAAATATACAGCAGGTGTCAGGGTCGGGTTGGAACCCACGACCTCCTGTACACCAGGCGAGGTGGTTAACATCTCACCACGGAGAGAGAGACACGCAAAGTCCAAATATACAGCAGGCGTCGTCAGGGTCGGGATCGAACCCACGACTTCCTGTACACCAGGCGAGGTAGTTAACATCTCACCACGGAGAGGGAGAGAGACACGCAAACTCCAAATATACAGCAGCAGCAGGCATCGAACCCACGACCTCCTGTAGACCAGGCGAGGTAGTTAACATCTCACCACAGAGAGAGAGGCACGCAAACTCCAAATATACAGCAGCAGGCATCGTCAGGGTCGGGATCGAACCCACGACTTCCTGGACACCAGGCGAGGTGGTTAACATCTCACCACGGGGAGAGAGAGACACGCAAACTCCAAGTATACAGCAGCAGGCATCGTCAGGGTCGGGATCGAACCCACGACTTCCTGGACACCAGGCGAGGTGGTTAACATCTCACCACGGGGAGAGAGAGACACGCAAACTCCAAATATACAGCAGCAGGCATCGTCAGGGTCGGGATCGAACCCACGACTTCCTGGACACCAGGCGAGGTGGTTAACATCTCACCACGGGGAGAGACACGCAAACTCCAAATATACAGCAGGTACCGTGAGGGTCGGGGATCGAACCCACGCTTTGCCCCACCGGTGACATTAAAACAGTTGGCGCCACGTTGGACTGGTGGAATATAAAAAAAAACACAAACACGGTACTTTCAATATATTTTTTGAAAAATTACGTCTTAATATTGGGACCATCTGGAGTGGCCATCTGTTCTGCCATGAGAGGACGCGCCTGGCACTTCTCCCTGGCCGTGTTTCCCCGTTTAACTGCACAGACGTGTACGTCTATCTTCAAGAACCATCACCATCAGCCATGGTGAATCCACTGCTGGATGAAGGCCTCCCTCTCCAGGTCATTTTCGGCGCCTCGCAAGATTATAGGGTGCCTGTGTGAGTCTGTGGGTCTCTGTGTGCCTGTGTGAGTCTATGGGTCTATGTGCGAGTCTATGGGTCTCTTTGCGAGTCTGTGGGTCTCTGCTGTGTGAGTCTATGGGTCTCTGTGTGAGTCTGTGGGTCTCTTTGCGAGTCTGTGGGTCTCTGTGCGAGTCTGTGGGTCTCTGTGCGAGTCTGTGGGTCTCTGTGTGTCTATGTGAGTCTGTGTGAGTCTGTGCGAGTCTGTGGGTCTCTGTGCGAGTCTATGGGTCTCTGTGCGAGTCTGTGGGTCTCTGTGTGAGTCTATGGGTCTCTGTGCGAGTTTGTGGGTCTCTGTGCGAGTCTGTGGGTCTCTGTGTGTCTATGTGAGTCTGTGTGAGTCTGTGCGAGTCTGTGGGTCTCTGTGTGAGTCTATGGGTCTCTGTGCGAGTCTATGGGTCTCTGTGTGAGTCTATGGGTCTCTGTGTGAGTCTATGGGTCTCTGTGTGAGTCTACGGGTCTGTGTGAGTCTACGGGTCTCTGTGTGAGTCTAGGGGTTTCTGTGCGAGTCTGTGGGACTCTGTTTGAGTC